AGGAGAGAGAGAGAGAGAGAGAGAGAGAGAGAGAGAGAGAGAGAGAGAGAGAGAGAGAGAGACAGCAGGAGTATAGGAATCAGCACCATGCCAGAGTAGGCAGAAATGGCTGTGGCATCCATCAGAAGCAGCCACAGTGAGAATACTAAGGCTTAAGTTCCCAAATCTCCCAGGGAAGAAAGCAAGTCCCTTGGAAGAGGCCTGGACTGTCATTTCTTCAAACACAAGCAGAACAGACCTGGAGAATTCGGGTTTTCTGTTGGCTATTTGTCATTCTTCTAGATTTGGTCCTTTCCACTTCATGTCTATGAACCCAGCCTCGAAGTTCATGGTTCAACCTATAAAACAGAGTAATCAAATATATTTGATAGTCATTAACTGGCTTATTCTTTTGTTGGAAATTAATTTAACTATTTTATAAGACCCAAAGAGCAGCCTAACATGACTACTTAACAATGCTTTTTGATTTAATTTGGAAAAAAAAAAAAAACCACTAAGACATGCATTGTTGTAAGGTAATCACCTCAATTATAAGTTCAAAATTCAAAGAAATAATGGAGTATATGTCCAGAGCAGTACAGTCAGATATCACCTCCCCACTATGAAAAATGGCACTGTCTGCTGACAGTATCATGTCCACAAGTCTAGCCTTGCCCTGAATTTTAACATCCACTTCATCCTTTCATTCAAACAAGGCACACATAAGTGGGCGATCATCCTATTGAATGGACCCATCACCATTTCTACTGGACAACTGGCAGGCTTACAGTTACCCAACAAGTAAGTCAGATTCTCCTGGCCTCTTAGTAAAGCTGAAGAAATGCTTTTCTTCGTTCGGAAGTTTGCCATGGGAGGCCATGCAGTAGTTTCTACACCAATCCATAGCCCTCACCTGAGAGACTCTGTCGTGTTAATCAGGGGCTGACATGGAGGTGGAGGGATATAAAGTAAGGGTTCTTCACTTAGCACCATTAAGGCTTTGTCATTGGACACAGAATGATCATATCTGAAACAAACATACACAAAGATCATTTCCTTCAATCATAAGTTTTATAAAGCTTACTAGTGTCAACTTTCATTAAAATAAACATATACCAAATTGAACACGTTGCAGGATCGAAATGAACATAACGGAAAGAATCAAGTATAAACCATATGGTGAACTGTCATTCTCTCAGTTTCTAAGAGATAACAGAGTAATTCTCATTTGCTAAGCTACTATTTATTGTGCAGAACATGCTGTGTGTGAATTCATTAAACTTTGATGTTGCTGGAGTAGAGGAGAAATTAAGAGGAAGAGTTAGCAATTGACAGGAAAAAAATATTATTATTATTATTATTATTATTATTATTTATTATTATATGACAGGCCTACAGGTTTGTGGTCATTTGCCTTTCCGAGACAACAAAACTCAACAGTCTACCCAAGCAAGTTTGTGTGAAGTGGGGGTAGAGGAAGACCTAAAATATTTGGCAGGAGAAAAGTGACAAAGTTGAAAAACTGAATAAAAATTTTAGAACTGTAGATGCCCTTAAGCCAGTAACAAACACTAAATGACAATGACTACTTACTCATTAACTTAAAAAGTACATATTTGTACCTATGCTACCGCTTTATGTCACGTGATTCATATATAGAGTACGATAAGAAACAAAACCTGAGTTGAAAATCAGAATGTGAACCGGGCCTGCTACTACTAGCTATATCCTGCTATTACTAGTTATATCCTGCTATTACTAGTTATATCCTGCTCTTACTAGTTATATCCTTCAGTCTGTATCTCAATCTATCTCACTAAGAAATCTTACATCTCTTCTCAATTTTTTGTATGATATGCTCTGAATTTATAAATTAGATATGCTAAAATACAAAAATATACACAATTAAACATGGTAAGCTTCATGCTTTTCACTTATTCGTTCAATATTTATGGAATACCGCCTATGTGCTGGTTAATCCAAGAGAGAACAAAAGTAAATTCTCAAAGAGCTAACAGGAAAGGCAGATCAAACACAAGAAAACAAATACATAAAATACAGCAAAACCATGCTAATTGTTGTAAAAGAAACAAAGGACTCAGATAGCAAGTATGGCAGGATCTCCTTGAGATCAGACAGACAGTCTAAGGGAAGGATGACATAAGTCAGGCTAGACGACAAGAGGAACCAGCTGCACAGAAACTGGGAGAAGAGTATACTCAACAAAAGCAACTGACAAAAAAAGCACACTCAAGAAACAGAAGATTGCTGAAGAACTGTGGGCATGTGGGACAGACAGAAGAGGAAGTTGGGAAGACAGAGACCAGATCATAAGTAGGACTTGCTGAATAAAAGGGAAATTACTAAGTAGAGAAGTGAGATACCCCAATTATCCTTAAGCCTTAAAATTATACCAAAACCAAATATTAGTTAAATACAAAAAGGGAAAAAGTCAGAGACGACTGGATTCGTGAGCATGTATATGAGAAGTTCAACATGTGACCCAGAATTTGAGAATCACCCATGTGTACACATATGGAGCTGTAGTACAGACGAGTCACTTCAGCAGGAGATCAACACAGTTCTCAGCTCTAAAGCTTGGGATCTAGACAAAGGAGAAGCTTACAAAGAAAATCAGAGAGGAGGAAGGAAGACTGAGTGGGCACGATAAGCTTGCACAGAGGACGTGAAGGAAGGCGGGTCACAAGTTCAAAGCCAGTCTGTGCTACAGAGCAAGAGTTTGTCTCAATTAATCAGGCACAAGGAAATACCACAGTAATAGAGTACTTGCCTATACAAGGCCCTGCACTGAATCCCTAACACCACAAACAGCAGACGGTCAAGGAAGAAAGGAAGAAAGATAGGAAGGAAGGGAGGGAGGGAGGGAGGGAGGGAGGGAGGGAGGGAGGAAGGAAGGAAGGAAGGAAGGAAGGAAGGAAGGAAGGAAGGAAGGAAGGAAGGAAGGCAGGCAGGCTGGCTAAAAGTTATAATGATGCAGAAGGAAAAATCTTTTAGGGAGTGACTCACTTAGCCAAATCTTGAACAAAGTTCAAGGTGAGCACATGGGTTGCCATTAGATTTGCCACAATGAAAACATGCCCCCCAACCCACCCTCAACACTCACACCTACTAGAATGAACAACTAATTTCAAATAAAAGTAATGATTTCTGAGTATGGCACACATGAGAAAAAAGTTACATGGAACATTCACACACACATACACACACACACACACATACACACACACACACACACATCATTTGAAAATCACACCTGCATATTTAACAAAGTCAGGAATTCCATGAGAAAAACCCAAAATTGCTTTCAAAACTATACTTTTGACCTGTAATTTTCTTTCCATATGATTAAACTCTAGCGATGCTTTCTGCACACCTGTGCTGGCTATGCATACCTGTGCTGGTTAACTTTGTTCTAATTGCCAAAAATATAGAGAAGAAAGCTGGGCGGTGGTGGTGAACGCCTTTAATCCCAGCACTTGGGAGGCAGAGACAGGCGAATTTCTAAGTTTGAGGCCAGCCTGGTCTACAGAGTGAGTTCCAGGACAGCCAGGACTACACAGAGAAACCCTGTCTCGAAAAAACCAAAAAAAAAAAAAAAAAAACCCAAAAAAATAGAGAGAGAGAAGAAAACCATCTGATAGAGAAATACAAGGTAGACTACACAGGGTTAAAGGGAGAAAGGAAGGGGACAGTCTAAGTGGGCATGCAATCTGGAGACCCTGCTAACTCAAAAATGATCAGCGATCTAGGCTCTTTGCCATCCATTCTATACAGATAAAAGAAATGTCAGCAAATACATCACTAAAGGAAAGTGCAATGCTGGGAGCTAGAGTTGATGAGAATCCCTAGACTAAAGACACGCTGTGGCTGATGCCTCACGTGGAAAACACCCTTTCCTGTTTACTAGACAACAACTGTGGTTTAAGCCTATGTCCTATGTCCTATGTCCTATGTCACCCTCAACCAGCAAGGAAGATGCAATGCACGAGCTCTTCTCCAAGCAGTTTATTCAGGACCTTTGAACAATCTTCTAACTGACGACCCCGAGGGAAGCCTCTCCCAGGCTTAAGTTCTCTAGGGCTAGCCAACCCCCGTCTGCCATGTGGCAACAGCAGATAGGTACACACACACACACACACACACACACACACACACACACAAAACTGCCACTGCCATATAAGGAGTTGTTTACTCCTAAGAGTCCTCACCAGCAGGTGGCGGAAGGCAGAGACCAGTGCCATCTTAAAGGCGCAGCACTATGCGGCTCTCTACAAATACTAGCTATCACAATAGTACTAATATTCTTTCATAAAAGTGTCCCAGTTTGGCTGATAAATTATACTATTGTAAATACAAATATGTATATATACATATACTACTAACATTGAAAAAACTATGCAACTGCAATTTGCTAGCAGTAATATGCTAATTACAAACAAATATAACAGTTAAACAATAAGATTATAACTTATCCTTCCATTATTTGAACTGTAACTCTCCTAAACTGAGACAAAATGAGGCATTTGAAACTACAGATGAGGATACATCTTGAACGGGCCCACAGCAAGTAAGAAAACTGAAATTGTTATAAAAAGTCCCTATCTCCAATCCCAAAAGAATACAAACCCAGGGCTAGACAGTTTCACTGCTGAATTCTACCAAACTGCAAAAGAAGAGCCAATGAGTGTGGCACACATCAGCTTGCCTGTCGTCCCAAAAGCTGAGATAGGAAGATTATTAAGTTGAGGCTGGCCTGGAACCTTAATGAGACTCTTTCAAAACACAAACTAACAAAACAACACTGATGTAAACTTATCTAAAACTAGCCCAAAGAAGTGAAAGAAAAGAAACCTTTCCAAAGTTGTTTTGACATCAAGACCAGACAAGAACACAATCAAAAGAGGAATCCACAGACCCAAATCTCTGATGATCATAGCTACTGAAATTCTTGACAGAGTACTAGCAACTCAAAGCCAACATATCAACAAGGTGATACATCATAATCAAGCAGGATTTATTACAGGAATGCAAAGATGGCTCAACATATACAAATCAGTGAGTGTAACACACTGCTTCCACAGAATGGAAAACAAAAACTTTATGATTGTCTCAAAAGACAAAGAAAAAGCATGTAGTAAAACTCAACATCCTATCTTGAAGAAAAAAAAATGAAAAGAAAATTAGGTATAAAAGAAAATTACCTCAACACTATAAAACTCACATATGACAGATCCTAGCCAACATCATACTAAATGGAAAAAGCTGAAATGTTTTCCTTTAAGCTCAGGAGCAAGACAAAGATTTCTATTTTCACAAATACACATTCCTCAGAGAGCTCGAAACATTTCTAAGAAATCAAAATTCATGTCAAATAGACATCTATCTGCATGCCCATGTTTAGTACAGTACTAGTCACAATAGTCAAGACACGGAAATTAACCTACCTGTCCACTGATGACGAATAATGAAACCAGACACTGGAATTCTGCTGTTTTCACTGACAGATTTATAGGACAGATTTATAGGACGATGCATTAAGGGAAACAAGGCACACACATAAAAAGTACCATATTTTCTCTGTTAGATGTGCAAGCTAAGAACCTGCCATCACAGGGTTCCTCCTGCCCCAGGGGGAGGAGGGTTGTTCTGTTTTTTATATAATCATGCATATCAGAGTCTAAAAAGGTATGGGGGAGAGAGGGAGGGCTGTGGAAGGAGAGTCCTTAATGGGTGCCAGAGTGACTGGAGAAGAAGCACAGCAAACTCTGGTTAACTACAATGCATCAAGTAATTCATCTAATAGGAAGAATCTGAATGTTCTCAACTCAAAAAATGAATGAATATCTGTCTCAGATGATAGATACATTAATTACTCTGGCCAATCATTATATATTATTAACATCAAAATGACAGACACAGTGTAGTCAATAAATATGCACAATCACTGTGTCAGTTAAAATATTTAAATCATTTTAAGAGATAGGAAACTAGTAAAATAATAGCAATTTAAATTTTTAATTTATTTTTTTCAAAGGAAAAAATATACAGGTGTCCTGACAGCACATATAAACATCTAAAATTCAGTTCAGAACAAATCCATACCTGATGTTTTCTAATGTTTCACAAATTTTTTTAGTATTTTGTATTAAAAAATACTACTACTAATACCAATGATGATGATGATGATAATGATGATGAAGACAAGAACTTCACACTAATGACCTAACATTTGCTTAAAGCTCATAAATCGTTCTACAATAACCTTCTGTAGAACTTTAAGAGACCTAAGAATCTATAATCTCTTTTCCAGTGGTGACACTGGTAGAGGACACAGAGCTGGTTTACATCTTTCAAATATTCTTTTCAAGGTAACAGATTTCACCCTGAGAGTTGCCCAGACCTCTACAGGAGTCAGCATTTTATCTCATGCTAATGTGAGCAAATACATGAAGGCTTCTGGTTATTATGATTATTTTAGAGTAAATAATATTCCTATAATGATGACCTAAAATAAGTGTGTTTTCAAGTATCAAATCAACAATTTTTCTTCTTTTTAGCAACTAACTGTATTTAATCAAACCCTGTAAATCCAAAGACTATTAAAGTTAAAATAAAAATTTTGAAAGATCTCCTATGGACAACCACAGAAATCAAAATTATAGAATATGGAAGGAAAACCTGGGCACATTTGGAAAAATAAGAAAACTGATCATTAAAATTCAGTACATTAATGGCATGACTAGCTCACTTGTTCCACTAGCCAAAACTCATGTGACCAATTTACATGTAAAGTGATATCACTAAGGTCAGCAGGTGGTCCCACCTGTAACTGTTTTTCTGGTTGTCACCATCGGATGTGTCTTTAACTTCTTTCTTTGAAAATTCTAAGAGATGCCTCCTTTGATTGGCAGGGCTCACACTGGGTTTCACTGTCCTGGAATCTGGCTCCAGCATGCTGAAAAACAAACCAAAACCAACACCAACAACAAAATGAATCGGTTGAAATAAAAACAGTATGCATGTATGCTACATGTAGCTAGAAAGCAAGTAAGACTGGCCTTATAGATTCACACATACAGCAAATAACTAAGGCCTAGAGATACGTCAAAACATTGATGTCCTTAAGTACTCAAGGCCTGGCGCCCTGGCACCCTGTACATAGTGAACAATTTCAAAATAATTTTGATAAGTATAAATGCCCATATGTATAAACTGACTAAACAAAAGCAGTGTTTTACCTGCTTTTAAAAACCCTAGAATTACATTATATGCTAAAGGCTTGGGTCCCTTGGGAGGTGGTGGAACTTTTATGAGGTAGAATCTAGTAGACAGAAGTCAGATAAGGGATACTGGGATCCTAGTCCCTCCTTTGCCTGTCTCTTTCACTTCCCAGCAACTGAGCTCAGAGACCACACACTAAAACCTCTGAAATCAAGAGCCAAATAAACCCTTCTGCTTTTTAAGCTGACTTATCTTGGGCATTTAATAACATAACTATGGCACTGTTTTCCTCACTTCTTCTACAGGTAATGATTTGGACGTTGTAATAACAATGTACCCACAGCTGTCACCACAGCCACTTCCTGGAATAACACCTTTCTTTTAACTAAAGAGTTTAAATCTCACTTAATGCATCTCACCACACTTCATTATATAGAGGCAACATAATACTCTGAGCAAGGGACTCAGCGACAGGCAACAGTTGGGATTTAAATAAGCTAAGCCGTGAGTTTACTGTCCACCTACTAGTCTGGATAAGAAGTATATTAAGACAGTCACTGTTAGCTGGGTTGCAGTGGCGCACACTTTTAGTCCCAGCACTTGAGAGGCAGAGGCAGATGGATCTCTGAGTTCAAGGACACCCTGGTCTACACAGAGACACCCTGTCTTGAAAACACAACAACAACAAAAAATAATAATAGAATAAATAAATCACCATCCTTTTTTTTTTTGCTTTCTTTTGTGTAGCAAGGAGTTACAATTCATGCATATTTTAATGCTTAAAATGAAATTTCTAAAAAGAAAAAATACTTGAACTCTGAAATAAGTGGGAAAAATTAAATTTAGTTACAAGAATAATTCATATTTACAGTTTCCTTGTATCTATTAGTATTTAAAAGAATTTCATTCCCCTGCCAGATTTCAGGATTATCTAAGAATAATTGTCATATTACAAATATCAAGAGGAATTTGGCAGCTCTTAAAGTGGTCAAGCATACAAAAGGGTATGAGAAAAGTACTGTTGATATGAACTTTTAGATTCTTGGCCTGAGTATTTTTGTAATATTGGGAAAAAATTAAATTTCCAAGAACACAAAAGGATGAGTCAGGCACAGCAAGGACATGCAGTAGGTGAGTGTGCGCCCGCTGACTTTCTATCTCTGAATATTGACAAAACAGCTAACTAAACTTTAAAAATCTATTTGTTTTTGTTTTATCTGGTTTTTATGTTTTGCTTGCAAGTATGTCTTTGCACATACCATGTGCATACAGTGCCCTTAGAAGCCAGAAGGGGGATGAATACCCTGGAACTGGAGTTACAGATAGTTGTTAGCTGCCATGTGGGTGCCAGGAACCGAATCTGGGTCCTCTGCAAGAGCAGAAAGTGCTCTTAACCCCTGAGCCAACTCTCCAGCCCCCTAACTAAACTTTTTATAATTCAGTTAAACCAGGTTCTGTCCATAGTTTAAAATAAAATAGCAAATACTGAGGAAGCGTGCGTCTCCGTGATCTATGACTCTACAATCAACATACTATCCACTAAGAGTCACAGTAATTCTAATCCACAGGATAACCATTACACAAAAAGCCTTGCTCGTGTTACGGGTCAATGATCCTGAAAAGCATAGATTAATAGGACATGAATGGTTTCAATTTGCCCCAAAGTTTGAAAGAAGCATTACTTTTGTTACTTTATGAAATTCTTAACGTCAACAACTGCTTTAGATTATTCGTGAGGCCACTTAATCCTTAAGACTTCAGATATTGAATCTTCACACCAAGTGGCTGAACATAAAATGGCACATACCCAAGTGTACCCTGGGCATGCCTGTTTAAGGTACAAGCAGACCACTTTTAAATTGAAAGCATCTCCACAGGTAAGAGTAACACTGTTTCTCATCACCCCAAACCATAGACTGCTGTTGTTCCGAGACCCACACATGAAGGCTGAATTGCTTCCAGCTGAGGAAGATCATGAAGACCTTTGGGTCTAATGTGGGAAAGTGGAAAGAGCACAGAAACTGAAGGTAGAAGATCTGGATTCAAGACGTGACTCAAACGCCGGCCTTAGCTTAGTTCTTTAAGCCTAATTCCTAACAGCAAATTCATGAAAAAAGAATAGCAAATTTGTCACAGAGCTCTTCTGAAAGTCACATGAGACAGCAGATGTGGACATATTATAAAGCCTGAAGATGCCACAGGGTACTTAATGACACAGCTGTCTTCCTGCTTGCCCAGTTCAAGTGTTCACAACATAGCAACTGCAGTGAGGTTTTAAAAATCTCGGTCAGACTTCTCTGCCTCTCCGCAACTCAACTCCTTTAGACGGCCCCCTTCTAGCATGATAAAAGCCCAAGTACTTCTCTGACCCTCCCGTGCATTTTGCCGCTATGGTATCTTCTCCCCGTTCCCCTATCCGTGCATTTAAGTTTAGCCATACCCCTACCTCACCCTTGAAAATGAACCACACAACTTCCCACACTAGCGCTCCTGCAATGGCTAAGGCCTTTGCAATGCTCTTCCCCAGCAATCCAGACAGCTAACCTCATCTCCTTCAAACCTTCGCTCAAACATCTGCTAAACAGCAATCACTATTCAAAGAGACATGGCAGCAACACCCCCCACCCCCACTAAACACTTGTAGAACCATTTGCCCTACCATACTTTATTCTGTTCAAAGAATTTACAACTTGACTGTTTTACTTCTTAAATGTATTATCTCTTAATGTAGCACAAACTGAAAGGCATAAAAATCTCTGTGTTGTTGTGGGTCAGAGGCTGGCACATAGGGGACACTTCTGGATTTTGTTCTTTAAATAAAAAATAAGTGAGCTTTATGGACATTTCATGTCTTTACTTTGCCGTTCACTTAGATCAAACCAATCGATTCATAAGACAGACACTTTCCTGTTTCATAGCCAAGTCTAAGCTTTTGGAGGATGGGCAGAGCTGCTGAAGAGAGTACGCATTGCTCCACCGTAAGGGTTTATCTGCCTGTAAGCCTTGCTTTGTCAGTGATGAAGACAAAGTCCCAGTTCAGCCAGTAACTGTGTTTTCAGTTTCCTCATCTGTAAAATGATTGCAATAACAACTTCCTATGATAGGAGAAGGAAAAATGAAATAATGCATGGGGAAATCAGATTACTATTTGGTGGATTAAGTTCTATAACTGATAGCATAAGACAAAAAACAAAGCTGGCTACTTTGACCAACAAAGCATTAATAATATCAACATACAGCCCGCCTAGACTGTTCTGAAATCTTTGTCCTCACCTTCATATATTTTCTTTTCTTCCAATTACCATATTTCTATTTCTTATTTTCTAATTTATTTTTTAAAGGAGAAAGGAGGGAGGGATAGAGGGAAGGGAGAGAAGGACTGCTTTATTGGAGTTCTGGTAAAGCGCTGATACAGAAAGCACATAAACTGTGTTGACTTCCTATCCATTCCCTAACTGTAGCTCATTCAGGGTCGAACTGTGATTGACGGACTATGGAGAGAACATAAATGCTGCTTATATGCAGAAAAATGAATATCAAAGAGTCTAAGTGTGTAGCACATGTCCATAATTCATGTAGATATTAGCAATTAAGAATGATCTGCAGAATGCCCGCTAAAATACTGAAATGACAAAATAATTCAAATCTGGAGACAAAATGGCATTGGTGACAAATGTCCTAGAAGCCGAAGTGACGGATAACACTATAACTACATTTGAATGCTCACAGATCAGGTCCATATGATTCCTAGTTCTGTCTCAGTACAAAGCTGAGCTACCTCCTTCTCCACTATGTATGATCTGCAGCTGACAAAGCATGATCACATCTGCATATGTGAAGTAATGCTACGTTAATTATGGCTCTTTTGGACAAACTATTCACTGCTCCTTATTTTACATTTATTAAGAACATAATAATCTAGAGAAAATAGCAATACACTGAGCTTACACACTGACGAGAGTTTTCTCACCTGGCCTAGCTTCTCACTGACCCACTCTAGGAAAAGAAACAGTGCAAGTTACCAACTTTTAGCTTAAAAACTGATGCCTGCCCAAGGATATATCTACTCCAGGTAAAGAAGAAAGTCAGGTGGGGATATAGTGTCTGACTTAATTAGCCTTTGTTGCATTATGACTGAGGTCTAAGGAAGAAGATGGCCAAGTGACGTATGATAAAGCCACTGGCATGCTTCTTGGAAGCACACGCTACACAATTCATGTGAAAGCACAGACCAAACGGGGCAGTGGTGGCGCACGCCTTTAATCCCAGCACTTGGGAGGCAGAGACAGGCGGATTTCTGAGTTCGAG